CAGTTGCCTTCCTATACACTAAGGATAAGGAAGCAGAGAGGGAAATCAGAGAAGCATCACCTTTCACGATAGCCACAAATAGCATAAAATACCTTGGGGTAACCCTGACCAAGGAAGTGAAAGATCTACTTGACAAGAACTATAAGTCTTTGAAGAAAGAAATTGAAGAAGACACCAGAAAATGGAAAGACCTCCCTTGCTCTTGGATTGGGAGGACCAACATAGTAAAAATGGCAATTCTACCAAAAGCAATCTATAGATTCAATGCAATCCCCATCAAAATCCCATCAAAATTCTTCACAGATCTGGAGAAGACAATAATCAACTTTATATGGAAAAACAAAAAACCCAGGATAGCCAAAACAATCTTATACAATAAAGGTTTGTCTGGAGGCATTACCATCCCTGACTTCAAACTCTATTACAGAGCTACAGTATTGAAAACAGCTTGGTATTGGCATAAAAACAGAGAAGTCGACCAATGGAATCGAATAGAAGACCCTGACATTAACCCACAAACCTATGAACACCTGATCTTCGATAAAGGAGCTAAAAGTATACAATGGAAAAAAGAGAGCATCTTCAACAAATGGTGCTGGCAAAACTGGATGTCAATCTGTAGAAGAATGAAAATAGATCCATATCTATCACCATGCACAAAACTCAAATCCAAATGGATTAAAGACCTCAATATCAGTCCGAACACACTGAACCTGATAGAAGAGAAAGTGGGAAGTACTCTACAGCACATGGGCACAGGAGACCACTTCCTATGTATAACCCCAGCAGCACAGACACTAAGGGCATCATTGAATAAATGGGACTTCCTGAGGCTGAGAAGCTTCTGTAAAGCAAAGGACACTGTCACTAAGACAAAAAGACAACCCACTGACTGGGAGAAGATCTTCACCAACCCTGCAACTGACAAAGGTTTGATCTCCAAAATATATAAAGAACTCAAGAAACTAGACCGTAAAAGGCTAATCAACCCAATTATAAAATGGGGCACTGATCTGAACAGAGAATTCTCAACAGAAGAACTTCAAATGGCCAAAAGACACTTAAGGTCATGCTCAACTTCCTTAGCGATCAGGGAAATGCAAATCAAGACAACTTTAAGATACCACCTTACACCTGTCAGAATGGCTAAAATAAAAAACACCAATGATAGCCTTTGCTGGAGAGGTTGTGGAGAAAGGGGTACACTCACCCATTGCTGGTGGGAATGCAAACTTGTGCAACCACTCTGGAAAGCAGTGTTTCGGTTTCTCAGGAAATTCGGGATCAACCTACCCCTGGATCCAGCAATACCACTCTTGGGAATATACCCAAGAGAGGCCCTATCATACAACAAAAGTATATGCTCAACTATGTTCATGGCAGCATTGTTTGTAATAGCCAGAACCTGGAAACAACCTAGATGCCCTTCAACGGAAGAATGGATGAAGAAAGTATGGAATATATACATATTAGAGTATTACTCAGCAGTAAAAAACAAGGACTTCTTGAATTTTGCATACAAATGGATGGAAATAGAAAACACTATCCTGAGTGAGGTAAGTCAGACCCAAAAAGAGGAACATGGGATGTACTCACTCATATTTGGTTCTAGCCATAAATAAAGGACATTGAGCCTATAATTCATGTCCCTAGAGAAGCTAAATAAGGTGAATCCAAAGACAAACACATAGGCATCCTCAGGAATATTAACCTTCATTAGGCGACGAAAGGAGACAGAGACAGAGACCCACATGGGAGCACCGGACAGAAATCTCAAGGTCCAAATCAGGAGCAGAAGGAGACGGAGCACGAGCAAGGAACTCAGGACCACGAGGGGTGCACCCACACACTAAGACAATGGGGATGTTCTATTGGGATCTCACCAAGGCCAGCTGGCCTAGGTCTGAAAAAGCATGGGATAAATCCGGACTAGCTGAACATAGCGGACAATGAGGAATACTGAGAATTCAAGAACAATTGCAGTGGGTTTTTGATCCTACTGCACGTACTGGCTTTGTGGGAGCCTAGGCAGTTTGAATGCTCACCTTACGAGACCTGGATAGAGGTGGGCAGTCCTTGGGCTTCCCACAGGTCAGGGAACCCTGATTGCTCTTCGAGCAGATGGGGGGGGGACTTGATCGGGGGAGGGGGAGGGAAATGGGAAGCGATTGTGGGGACGAGGCAGAAATCCTTAATAAATAAATAAATTAAAAAAAAATAAACATGAATGTACAAGAAAAAAAAACATAAATTATAGAACTAAAAGCGGCTACACAGGGTTCATTCTGTCATACAGCTCTCGGTTCTCTCCCTCCCTCCCTCCCTCCCTCCCTCCCTCCCTCCCTCCCAACCTCCCATAGGTCTGGGAATGAAGCTTAGTAATAGAATTCTTGGAATCAATAATACATATAAATACAAGTTAATGAATGAGAAGAACATGATTTGTGGCCATATGAATTGTTTTGCTGAATATTACATGTATATATATTAGATACACAGTAAGTATTTGATTAAATATGTATAGCATAAGCGTATATCTATAAATTTATATCGCTTAGGCATTCTAGAGAATTGGGTTTTTAATAACTTGAGTTACAGGGGGCTTTGAACTGCTATGTGAATTTACGGAACTGAACTGGATCCTTTTTTTAAATTTTTTATTTCTTTATAAATAATACCATTTAAAATTCCCACTTCCTCCTCTCCTCCCATTTCCCTCCCGCTCCCCCACTTACCCTCTCCCCTCCCCTTCCAGTCCTAAGAGAGGGCAGGGTTCCCTGCCCTGTGGGAAGTCCAAGGTCCTCCCCCCTCCATCCCTGAACTGGATCCTTTGCAAGAACAGCCAGTACTCTAATCTGATGAGCCATCTCTCTAGCCCCTGTGTTTCCTTTTAGCAAATTATTTACATATATACTTGTATATACATATGTATATATATATATGTATATACAGATATATGTTTATACATATATGTAAATAATTAGTGTGTGATAATATGATTCACTTGAATAACAGTAGTTATATTGTATGGTGGTATGTTTTGGTTATAATTCTCTTATTCTTGACCGTCCGGGTCAATAGTGTTTCTATTTCTCATTATTGGAAAAGAATGTTGACACAAACATTTTAGGCAGTTCCCCTCAACTCAGATTAGTCTGAGATCAGGAACAATTTCATAACTGTTGTTACACATTGCTGGATTATTTTTAAGGAAGGCTGAGGTGATTTGGCATGCCGCTACCTGTCTATACAGCAGTCTCAGTCTTAGGCAGTTTGCACAGTCTGAACGGAGTGAGAAATGTAACCACATTTTACCTGGAGGCCTAGCTGTAAATAAGTCCTCACAGGTAGACTCAGTGCATGGACTTTTGAAATTAGCACTGACAAAGCACAAGTCAGTTCGTTCTTGAGAAGGCAAAACCTTCAGGCTAGGAACTTTAGGGGCTGGAGAAAGTATGGTGTTGGGGTGAGAGCCCCTTCAGGACCAGTGCGTTACTGTGTTCCTCTCTGCAGATGTCCTCATGTGAGCTCAGTGGGCCTGCAGGAAATTCTGCAGCACCCGAGAATGTGTAGGACACCAAGTGCTCTCAGGAGGTTTGTGGCAGAGGATATCCAGTGGCCGCCTTGTGGTCACCAATCCATGGACCTTATATCATTTGGGTAGCTGTTGAAGAAATGCTTTTCCTCATGAAAAAATGTCAGCTCAAGTGTTGGGGTCACTTTTCCCTCTGTGAAACAGTATTATCAACTTTGTGATGAAAATTGATAGAGATCACAGATAGTGTGGAAATGCATCCTTTCTGTCAAGATATCCTCACCTGGTCCACAAAGATTCCTTTCTCACAATTTTGACAGATGAGAAATGAAGACGTTTTCTTGAGAAATAATTTCCCCGATTGCTCATGCATGCTGACATGACATTGTATATTTGCCAGCTTCCCCAACAACTCAAAAAAAAAAAAAACCCTGTTACCTAAATACATAACATGTAGCAACGCATCATAGAACTGGGCCAGGAGGGAACCGCCGAAGGCAAATATTGCGTTAGATGCTGTTCAGAAAGGCAAACAGAAGCAAAGACAGAGTTGCTAATAAAATGTCGGGTGGTTTAAAAATACCAAGTGCAGTGTTTTAAAGGGAGGAAAGTGAATGGGTTATCATAGACGCCCATGTCACTGAGGTAAATGGAAATTAAGATATAAAATGGCTCAAGTTTCCAGGCGCCCAAGTAGAAGTATCAGTGGGCAGAGTAAGGTCAGAAATTGGGAGGAAAGGGAGACAAACCAGGATGTGGCGTGACCTATCCGGATACTGAACAAAATGTATCTACCTTAGCCATGTGTTGGGTGGTGCCTAATTTTGTTTCATTGACTATTTTTACCACAATATCCAAAACTTTCATATCACTCCAAACTTAAGAAATTTTTTTTGTAATTGATTACCCAAGGAAGGCATTTATTTTTTTGCTTGTTTATTTATTTTGGCTTAAAGAACAAGATGTTCATACTCCAGATTTTGGTTCTTGTGTCTGTGCCTCTGTTAGAATTGATTCTACTTGTGCTGGCCTACAGTTTCTCACTTTCCTCTCAATGCTCCTATTGCTGTGCCCCTCCAAGTGGAGAAGGGAGGCATAGTGTTTGTCAAGAGCACATAAGGACTTCCGTTGCTCTGCAGAAGTCTTCAAAACAATGGTTTTAGGGAAGAATATGGGTATCCAGGTTTCTTTTTACTTGTTTAATGCATTTGAAACTTAAAAGGCAGTGTTGTGTTATAGATGGTTTAAATGAAAAGTAACTTTTTTTTTCTCGTTGAACACAAAAGCACTTACCATTTTTGCATTTTTTGTTTTTTTTTAACTTTTGTACTTTTAGCATATTTGATAGCTATAGGTATTTTGCATCCAATGGCTCCTGTGTTTTTGTGCCAATCTGGTTAAAAACAGTGTGTTTTGGGGAACTATGGTGAGCGGCAGCGGATGACAGGTGGTTGATATGTTGCAGGTTGTGAAGATCTTAGAGAAGCATGACCCCTTGAAGAACACCCAGGCAAAGTATGGATCGATCCCTCCAGACGAGGCCAGCGCTGTGCAGAACTATGTGGAACACATGCTGTTCCTGCTCATTGAAGAACAAGCCAAGGATGCTGCCATGGGGCCAATTTTGGAGTTTGTGGTCTGTGAGAACATCATGGAAAAGCTTTTCCTCTGGAGCCTGAGGCGGGAATTCACCGACGAAACCAAACTGGAGCAGCTGAAGATGTATGAGATGCTGGTTACACAGTCGTACCAGCCCCTGCTGCACCATAAGCCCATCCTGAAGCCCCTGATGATGCTGCTGAGCTCCTGTTCGGGGACAACCACCCCAGTCGTGGAGGCAAAGCTGGTCGTCCTGCTCAACCAGCTTTGCTCCATCCTTGCCAAAGACCCATCCATTCTAGAACTCTTCTTCCACACCAGTGAGGACCAAGGGGCCGCTAACTTCCTCATCTTTTCTCTTCTGATACCCTTCATTCATCGGGAGGGCACAGTAGGCCAGCAAGCTCGGGATGCTTTGCTGTTTATCATGTCTCTCTCCGCGGAGAACAGCATGGTGGCCAATCACATTGTGGAGAACACCTACTTCTGTCCAGTAAGTCCCCTCCCTTGCTGTGCTTTCCTTCCAGCTCACTTCTTTCCGCTCATGTGCCAATAGCAAATCCTTTTTTTCCATTTATTTGAAGTTGTACCTTCCATGGAAAGACGTTCAGAGGAACTTGCTTGGCGGCAGCAGAGGTATCTAAGTTTCAGTGCTAAAATTTGGCTGAGCAGTAGCAGCTCAAAAGTTACTTCTAGACTTGTGACCATTTCTTAATTCATTTTTATTGTGTTGGGAACACTTTTTATTTCTTTGTAGGATATATGCATAGAGATTGGTAAAGCCTGCACTTTTAAAATTCATAGCCTTTCAGGTTGACTTTGCTCCACTGAGTCAAGGCATGTGGTAAGACCCCTCACAGCTACTTTCATAAATTAATTTGTTTCTCAGCAAGATAACGACTCTAAGTTGTTGGTCTGTAGCACTGATTTTATTGGAAAATGAATATGTATTTGCAGTAACAAAAAATTCTCTACTTTGAAAAGTTCCTTAATCCATGGCGTGAAACCAAAATGGTATGTATTGGAGTAGCCAATGCTCAGCACCAGGAAAAGATGGGAACAGTATGTAATTTTCAGGGCTTCGTAGGTCTCTGAGTGATCTGGGTGTTATGTTGGTTGGGCAATAGCTATCAATGCTTCCTAAGCTCAGTGAACATTGGTATTTTCTGTTTTGCTATCAGTCTTTATAAAGCATGTAGCCTTACGTACATGGAATAGCTAGGAGAGCCCTGGTGAGTTTTGTTGGACAAGACAAGGCAGGTTGCTATGGGTAGATGAGATTTTTTGTTATTGCTAGTAAACATCGTATGGGTGATTTTAGACCAGGAGAAACATAATCCCTAGAGGACATTTAGAAATATATGTGGTGGGTGGGTGTGTCTGCTTAGAATGGGGAGATGATGCTCATGAAGAGGGGTTCACTTGACGCCAGTGTTCACAGACCATACCGACAACACCAAATGCAGGCAAGGATGTGGAATTCATTTTAATTACTGGTGGGGATGCAATTTGGTGCAGCTGCTTTGGAGACAGATTGATAGTTTTCTTTTTAAAGTGGTTTATTTATTTATTCATTTTCATATATATGAGTATTTTGCCTGCATGTGTGTCTGTGCTTGCATGTAGTGCCTCTGAAGGTTAGAAGACAGCATTCAGTCCTCTAGAGCTGAAGTTACAGGGGTCGTGAATCACCCTGTTGGTTCTGGGAATCTAACTCAGGTCCTCTGGAAGAACATTCAATGTTCTTAAACACTGGGCTATCTTTCCAGTCCTGACAGTTTCTTATCAAACATGCTTTTATCATATGCTTTCCTTGGTATTACGCCAAGGAGTTAAAACTTACATTCACACTAAAACCTGAACATGGGTCTTTCTAGTGGCTTTATTCATAGTATTAATTGTAGAAGAAACCAAGATAGCACCCTTACTAGGTGAATAAAAACTGATCCATCCAATGTTGAAATGACCTAACAAGACATGAAAAGACCATGGGAACTTTAAGACATACAACCATGTTGAAAGAAGACAATCTGAAAAGGATGCGTGTTGTCTGAATACACTAGATGACATGTTAGAGAGAAAACCTCTATGATATCAGTAGAAAGAGAAGCATCTCCCAAAGTAGGCAGGAATAACATTAGTGTGGATGCATGCCCCTGTATATTTGCTCAAAGCCACAGAATGTACAGCAAAAGTGAATTCTTATTTGGACTGTGGAATTTGAGTAACTGTAATGTGCCCAAGTGTTTCAAGATACAGAAAAGACAAGAACTTCTGAGAAATAAGTTGATATATGTTTAGGAAAGCAATATAATTATGGTCACTAACATCAAATTTTTGCATACTGTGTGACCCTGAAGCTTTACTTACAAATATTGTCACAGGTATGTTCAGTTGAACAGTGATTTAATGAAAATAAAAGTCAAAATGTATGAAACGAAAGATTATTAGACCGTGATAATGTCTATTAGTATGTAGCTACATCTACATGTATGAAGGCCAACAAATCTAAAAGCATGATGCATAATGAATAAATAGCAAAGTGCTACCTACCAGTTTAACATTTACTTAAATTTACATAAGGCTTTAGAATGGTACTTTTTTTTTTTTTGGACACACACATAGTTTAAGGAAAAAACAAATCAAGCAAACAAACAAAAACTGACCAAACAAAGACAAAACCAAGAACAAGAATAATAAATATTAACTTCAGGACTCGGGTCAGCCTTGAGGAGGCAGAAAGGAAGAGGATGGCCATGGGAATGGAGCAGGGTTTGTTCTGTTTGTTGGCACCGTGGATTGGTTGAACCCAGATCCTCATGCACGCACTCTGTCACTCAGCCCCACGCCCCACCTGCTGCTGTACCAGTTTTTGAAAAGCATGCAAAATACTCTGAAGAAACTGTAGCAAAATGATAACATCTGATAAATATTGTGGTGGTTCTCAAGTCTATCATTTTCTACTTATCTGTAATATTTCATAATCTAAAAATTCAACTGTACTGGGAGAAGAATGTGATGTAGTTTTAATGTTTAGATTTCCATTATCTGTGTTTGAGCTGATTTCACTAATTGTTGCCTTTATAAAAATGCATTTTAAAATGTTATACAGTTCGTTAAAAGTGGAGGGAAAACAACATTGTCAGCTGACCTCATTTGCTAAAATGGAAGACAAGTTTCTCGGGTTAGGTTGCCCCTCAGGATAGAGCCCATAATCTCATTTATACCCAGTTTTCCATAATTACATCTGACAACATAATTAAAATAAAAAACCCTTTATGTTGCAGATAAAAGCATACTCTATTAGCCAACCAGCTAAGGCAACAATTGACAAAGAACTTTCTCTAATTAGTATGATTGTCAAAGTGTGTTAACATCAGGCTGCTGGAAGACCAATGACTCTCTTAGCAAACTGGATCCCTTTTGGAAACTTTTGTCTTCAGAGTTGTTAGGAAGAGCTGACTGGTTCTGCTCTCTCATTTCTTGGTTGTCAAGAAAAGAAGGAGAATAGAGATGCCCTGAGAACAATCTGGTACCAACAAATGGCTGGGCACTAAATGATCACCTCTCTCTCTCTCTCTCTCTCTCTCTCTCTCTCTCTCTCTCTCTCACCAAATGTAGATGGTTATACTTACTAAATGATCACCTCTCTCTCTCTCTCTCTCTCTCTCTCGCTCTCTCGCTCTCTTTCTCACCAAATGTAGATGGTTATATTTAGACCATTTGTCACATGTTGGCAAGGAGCGCACAGCCTTGCAGACATGAATCAAACCATGTAAATCAGAGCAGGTGACCTTTAGGTACAGAGCCACAGGTAGGGAGTTCTTTATCACATATCCAGAATTTATGAGGCCCTTTATTTTGGCAAGCTGTATCAAATGGTCTCTACCAGGTGTTTTGCTGCTAGCTTCCCACCAAAGCCATCTGCTAAAAATCGTCGTAGCTGCTAAAATGAACCGAGAACTGCGGGATGTTTAAGGATTGACTTTAGCTTGCTCGGTGCTGTGTGCATGGCTTGTCCTTCCTCCATCACCACGTGCAAACCATTGCACTAATCTTGCATGGGCTGACAACTTCCAGTTAATGGCAGAGTCTGGCTCAAAACCACATTTGTCTGATACTAAAGCTGCTGTTGCAGCATAGCCACACAAGACTGTCAAGAAGTTACTGCTTTTCACTGTTGCTATCGATATTGCCCTATATGGCAATCCTTCCTTCATACACACACGCACACACACACACACACACACACCACATGCATGCACACGCGCACACACATACTTGATATCAGCTTTCTTCCCTGATCACTCTACCTCATCCACTGAGACAGAGTCTTTGAACTGAAGTTTATTATTCCCATTTTGGCTAGTCTAGCTGTCCAGTTTGCTCTGGGGATGACCTGACTCCACTCTCTGAGCTCTGGAGTTGCAGCCACCACACCTCGTTGGCTTTTATGTGGGTGCTAGAGATCAGAGAATAGGAAGTTCATGCTTGTGGAGCGAGAACTTTACCTGCCCGGTCATCTCTTAGCCCATGATAACATCACTCAATGTGTACTTTAGGGAGATGTTGAGTGGCAAGTACTTGGTTAATATTTGATGTACTGAGAATAAACACAATGTTTTACAATTTTGTGGTCTGAATCAATAAAAGGATAAGAGAGTAGATGAGCCTCTTATTTTTAATTAGCCATTGAATACAGATAAATGCACCTTTTTATAATTTAGTTTTCAAGTTACACAGTGAAATTTACAAGTAAATCTCTTTTGATGTTAGTTCTTGAACCAGAAACAAAACAAAACTGAAACAAGAACCCACCTCCTCTTGCCACTTCTTTCCTCTGGTCCTGCTCCCTCGGCACCTCTGTATTCTCGAGGGTCCTGTTTGTGATCGTAAGCCGGCCTCGCCGTCTCTCCTGGCCTGGCTTGTTCCCTGCCTATGCATGGCCCACAGCCCATGTTCTAGAACCGTGTGTAATCTACATAAATGAATCTGAACTCAGAGTCTTGGAAGGGAATGCAGTTGCTAACAGAGGTGAACATTCGCACTCCTATATAAAGAATGCGTAGTGCCTTTTATTTTGCCAAATATTTTTTCCTTTTTTTTTTTCTTTCCACTCTGAGGAAAATAGCTAGGCTATTTCCTTGCCCTGCCTTATAGTGTCAGGGACGTGGTGGGGACACCCTGCACTACCAGATGTCACGTCTGCATGGGATGTGTCTTTCTGTCTGGGCAGGCTTCCTACTGTTCACATCCCAGCCGTGCCCTTTTGGAAAACTCACTTAAAAAGTGAGTATTAGGTGTGTGTTATTTTTAATTACTGCCACTGATGTATGTAATTTGAAAATTAATGTTGCTGTAATTATATTGATATACAGAATAGCTATTCCCAGCTTTTTAGTCAGACAAATTAAGCTTGTCTTTATGAATTCATCTTCAGAGTCTCAAAGTGGTTTAGAAACCAGGAGGACACAGAATTAGAGTCTTTGTTTTGTGGTTAATTTAGCATGAGTTAGCAAACGCAATTGACTTTTAAAACGTAGCATCAAGATTAGACTTCTCTTCTTAGGAGGACTTTGGGCTCCAGATGCTTTTGCCAGAGGTTTCTAATTTATAACAGACAACTCATTTGGGTTGCACGCAAAACTAGTATTAAAGTGATTTGTATGGTTATGCTGACAAGGAATTAAGTACTTTAAATAGAGGGCATTTTCCTTGGGGACCACAGATGCCCCGATTTTTAAAGAGATAAAAGATCAATCTTGCTTACTGTTTTGTTTCCTATACTTAGCACCAGACCTGAAATTAAGTAGTCAGGGTTTTTCTTATTAATGAGTGAGTTAATGTATGAGTGGCTAAAAGTTATTAGGAAATAGAACAAAGAAATATATCTGTGTATATATAGTGTTGATATGGTCCATCTGTTCCTCCCATTGTCCTTTATTCTATGTTCTCATCTCTTAGCTTCTCCTAAGGCTTCCTCGGGTTCCCTTGTGCTAAGGCCTCTTCGACTTGCACTCCCTTATCATAGAGTTCATTGTGTTACTCTTGGAAGGTCACAAACGAGACTCAACACACCTGATTGTATCAATCATCCTTATCTCCGGTGTAGATTGATGTGACCAGGTCAAATCAGGAGAGACAGAGAAGACAGAGCATAAGCTAGTGTATGCCAGAGAGGTGACTGTCTCCAAGTTAAAGGAGAGGTAACTGTAGGTCTATGGACATTTCCCCCAGGACTTTAACATTTCTGGCTACAAGGCTTCTCTGTTTTTTGTTACCCATGCCAGGCTTTGCATTTTGTTTGTTTGTTTTTTTAACTTGTCTTACTTTTCATGGTCTTCCTCTCCTATTCCTCTTTGGTTTTATGCTTGAGTGACCCCTTCACACAATGGCTCTAGCAGGCTGCCTCTAGCCCAGAGCATTCTCACAGGCATCAGACCCACACAGCTGTCCATAGGGCTCTCTACACAGGAGTCTCACGAGCCTTTTGTGCAGCGAGGTAGAACCCTGCAGGATGTGGCTCATATTCACTTTTGTGTGGCCAGCCCTCTCTGCTCTGACAGCGCTGGGCTTCTTGGCCCTGACATTATCTTCTCTTCTTTCTCCATTCAGCTCTTGTACAGGCCTTTCCTCTGCCTGAAACATTTTTCCTTCCACGGCTCATTTTCAGGCTTGCTCCTCTTTACTCTCCAGAGGTCTAGACAGCACTTCTGAGACCAATTGCCATTTTCATCTCCTACCTTCAGGTCAGAGTGAAGAGCTTTTGTATATCAGCAGCATCCTAAATGTCCTATTGTGTGTTTTCAGTGTTTCTAACAGTATTGTAATTCCTTGTTTGTCTATCTATGGCTGGGAGATCAATGAGGTACGCCACTACTTCTGACTCAGAATACTTTCTTGAATGTTTCCATCCATTTGAATCCCTTCAGGACCTATGCTAGAATGGTGTCTTTTGTAATCAACTTGTGTTTTTTTTTTCTTTCAATTTTTAACTACATATTTATTTATTTATATCATGTGTGCCTGTTAACGTATGTGTGTGGGCATGTCCATGCCATGGTGTGCCGTGTGTGGAGGTGAGAGAACAGCTTCCAGGAGTCAGTTTTCTCCTTCCCTCATTTGGGGCCAGGGATAAAGTTCAGGTGGTCAGACATCAGGCGTCCTTAGTGCTGAGCCATCTCTCCAGCCCTAGAGTTGACTTCTTGTGTGCAGTTTTTCTGCACACTGGCTAGGTCGGGCTCTCTGAGACCCTGCACAGTTAGCGGAAGCCACTGGCCCTGTGAGATCCACAGCCTCCCCACCCTTCTATCCTGTAAGCGCTTGGCATGAAGTGATCCCTTTCTACACTTCTCTTTAAAAGCCGTTTCTTAATCATCAAGTCTGAGAACTTGACAGTTTAAAGTCCTTAATCTAACTTGCCAGGCCCAAATACTGTCAGCATAGTTTTAAGAATTGGATGCAAAGGGAAAAAGTAAATCCCAGTTTTGACTTAAAACCGAAGGTCTTGGTTAGATAATCCTCATCCATTTTGCATGAGATTCCACTGATACTTCGGTGTGGACTCACATTAGCTCTGTTTGAACTTCTGTCATTAAATCTCAGTGTCCTGCCATTCTTCCCGCCCACTTCTTTCTTCCTGTTACATTGTTTGTGATGGTTGGAGGAACTAATACATATGGAAGTGTTTCCTACCAGGTAAACTTGCTAGTAAGTGTCAGTCATGATCCTTGACAAACAAGCAGTCTTTCTCACAAAACTACTCGGAGCCTTCTGTCCTGGCCCCGCTCTACCCAAGGCTGCCTCCTCTAGCCTGGAGTAATCTCACGGACACACTTCTCTATTGGCTGTCTCCAAGTTGTGCTCTACCGTGCTTCTTGTGAGCTTATCCCTTCCCCTGAACTTCTTGGGTATGAGACTCATATTTTGTTCATCTTTGTGTCTTGCCTTCTCACTTGCTTCTCTCCTGGCTTCTCATGGTGCCTGACATAAAAGATGCGTCACCCTCATCAACCTCTTGACTAGTAGCTAAGTAGCTCTACTTTTGCCTAGTCTGCTGGGGAATGGCCTTCTTATTCTATCCATAGAACAGGATTAAACCACCCTAGCTAGTTGCTACCTTCTTCTATTGCTACTCTGCATTTGGTCTTTGGACCAGTATCACAGGCATCCTTGTGAGCTGTTTGGTATAGATCAGGGACTTTGGACAAGACTGTTTATAGACTTTTTTTTTCTCTGAATGCAGGTACTTGCAACTGGACTCAGTGGCCTGTACTCGTCCCTGCCCACGAAGCTGGAAGAAAAGGGTGAGGAGTGGCATTGCCTTCTGAAGGACGACTGGCTCCTGCTGCCCCCCCTTGTGCAGTTCATGAACTCTCTGGAGTTCTGTAACGCCGTCATTCAGGTACTGCATGGCGGCAGCACAAGCCCTGGTGGGCCGGAGTCTGCTGAGAGCCCCAGCCTTGCTGGGGATCCGCGTGCGTGAGCACCCCTCCTCATTCAGATTTCTCCTAAATGAACCCTTCTTCGATTTTGAGACGTGCTCGTGGAATCATGAAGCTTTGCTTGAATCCCACTGAATATCCTGAAATGAGTGAAACCGTTTGGTAGACTTCTGAAAATTTCAATTGAGAACAAATGAAAGATTTTATTTTCTCTATAAAAAGTGTTATTCTGTTTTGATTATCCACTTACCCATCAAAAATAAGTTCACAGGCTGGCTCATTAAATAGATATTTTTAGGCTGCTTATGTACTCCAAATTATAACCCTTTTACTTCAAGGTCTTCCTGGGCACTTACAAGGAAAACACTTTATTTTGCTTAATGGTGCACACTACATAAAGAATATCGTCGTCCCAATCGAATTTGGAAGAAGTTAACAATCTTCTTAGCTACACAAATTAAATTTGCTTTGAAATTGGCTCGCTTTAGGGGGAAAAACAGCCACTGAATTCTTGTGTATTTGGCTTTTTGATTAGATTTTTACTGTCGGATTTCTTGTTACTGTTTTCAATAAAAATCCAATTTTATATATGTTTAAGGGCGTACTAAGTTTTCATCAAAATTTCTTCTATGTAGCATAAATATTACCTTAATATTGGATGTATTAAGAAATCAGGTTTGTTTTATGGTGATTTTTTTTGGGGGGGTGAGAAATGTCAGTTATAATCTGTTTATCTACCAAATAAAGAAACAGCTTCTGGAGGAAAGTGAAAGTGAATTACTTTAGTTCCCATCTCATTTTTATTGCTAAGTCAAAGGAAGTTTTATTTGTATTTAAGATAAATGGATTACACTTTAAATTATTTTTCCTTTAATATTATAGTCTATCAACATTTTCTTGCAGAAATGTATGGGAATAAAAATGATAGAACTACTATTAGCTCTTCTTGGGATGTACAGAGAGATTGTCAGTAATTTAAACAGCTAGGCTTACTTTCCTAGAAACCGCTTTTTATGTTGTTGTTTGACTGAATCTCTCTCCCTCTCCCTTTCCCTCTCTCAGTAAAGCTGATGGGCATGGTGAGGAGTGGGGAAATTATGTCTTTATTTCAAACTAAAGGCAAACATTATTTTAAAAGATTTAAATAGTGATTTGGGGCTAGGGAACCCCTGAAAGGATTACTTATTAAAAATATTAGTAAAGGTTTGCCCATGCTATCATGTATTTTGAAAGTCAAATTTGGGAAGTTCAGTACCACCAATAATGTTTTCTGCTTTTGAAGACTGTCCATTTTTTATAGGCTCTTTTCTCCCTAATATAAATACCAGGAAATATATCTTCAAAGTTCTCTGTTAGCAAAATAAGCACATTTAATTATCATTTTCTATAGCTACGCTCTTAAAAACGTAGCACGAGTGGATATGGAGCCCCAAGGGAGTTATGGGGCAAGAATTATACTTTCTAATTTATTCATTTGGACTTATTAATATTTATACATAGTCAGTCTATTCATTGTCTTTTTCAAATCAACGTTAAAATTGACTTTTTTTCCATATTTGGAAGTATAACTTTAGCTGTTTATACTGTAATAGAGATTTGAAAAAAAGTCATGTCATCGTGGGGTCTGAAGTATTACTTAAGAAATGAAAACATGGCCCAGAGTTGGGTTTCCATCTTGGATGTAAGATTTGCACAGAACTGCTTGGCTTTAAGGAACTGCAGACACTGAGCCCTGTGTCCTTCTGTCGCAGGTGGCCCACCCCTTGATCCGCTCTCAGCTCGTCAGCTACATCTACAATGGCTTCTTGGTACCAGTGTTGGCTCCCGCCCTCCATAAGGTCAGTGACGGGCTGAGGCCGCCTTCTGTCTGTTAATACAACAACGGGAGGGAAACTGAGGAAAGCAAGCGCGGGGTAACGACTCAGCCGTGTATGTAGCATTAGTTGGTCTTCTCGTTCCATCCCAAGTTCTCAGTATATCAAATGCGGGTCTTAAAGTAGCCGTGCTGTAAGCTGTGTGGGGAAGAATGCTTCTTTTTAGTGGAAAGCAGTGATACTACTGACAGTCTTTGTAGTAATTATATCCTCCCTCACATTGTCTTTCTTCCTCTTTCATTCCCAAGTGTTTCCTCCCTGACCGACTGACACTAATGCTATTGATATCTGTTGTAATAATGATAGCTATTACTACTATTTTCCACACTATTTGTTATTAAACTTTAATCTTATAAACATTAATGAAAATTCTTTTTGTGTATTAACAGGATATCAAGTGATATGTTGATACATATACAGACGTAACGTTGAAGTCAAGCTAAACACAGCTGTCCTCCCATTTATCATTTCCTTGTGGTGAAAACCAACCTTATAATTGTTCACTAGTGAGCACACCACTGTAGTCTGCAGATACCCTACGGTGTACCAGCACAGCAGAGTGTCTTGCTGTGATCTCAGGGTGGCTTAGAGCAGCGAGTGTCTCTGACTCACAGAGCTGTTGTGGAGACCTTCCTGCCCCTCTTCCTCACAGTGCTTAGGAGTGAGTGAGGACCGGGCATGAGCCCTGACTCACCTCTGACTCCACAGAGGTGAGCGCACTTCCTGAGGGTCAGGCTCCCGTCTATTGTGTTCTCTGGGATATGTCACTGCTGAGTGTGGACTTGAGAAGTCTGGAAAACCAAACCAAACTAAAAACCAGCACACAAACCAATGTTCATTAAAGTGTTGGCAGAACGCTGGCAGTTGGTGGCTTCCCAGAAAGTGCTTTATAAGAGAATGACTGCAGACAGCCCCGTGTACACATTCCCTGGCTTTCGTTTATACAGTTATGTCCGTAATTTAAAATTGGAGATTTTTTAAAACAGTGAAGTTACAGATGCTTTTTTATACGTCACTATAGAATTCAGGAGATGAAAAGTGAACGCTACTGCATGAGATTTGAATTTGTAACTCTCTAATAAGATTCCTTAATTTTTATCCATTATTGGCAATTCCTGGGATATTTTTGTTTAGTATCCAGGGAGAGCAAAGACTTACCATTCTCTTTTTTGATTATTTTTTCTTCCTATTCTCCATTTAGGAGGGGGGTGTTTGTGTTTTTACCGTTTAGAATCGAAAGGATTAGAAAGGCAGGGACAGCCTCTCCTGCACCCCTGACTCTCTCAGTGACAGCTGATCAGAATGTGTTCTAGATCAGCAGCCCAGGGACAGACAAGCAGAGAAGGTCAGGGATGAGCGTATCTCGAGAAGCTCCCACTGGGAGCAGTATCCTGTCTCTTGCTTCTTCTCCTTGGGCTCTGAAAAGGTTACTTCATGTCTGGGCTCAGGTCTGCTGGAGGAATTCCCATTGTGTTTTACAAACTTGAGGTCTGCTGCCCTGACAAAAGGGCCTCAGTCAGTCTTCCAAATAAAATTCCTTTGTGCACTCTCTCACCTAAACCATGCATAAATTTTTAGTTACCTGACATCTGTGTAGGCAGCTTATAAAGGTGAACTTATTCTCTATGCCTCATAAATCATACAAATAAATCCATACTTAATATTTCCTTCACAGTACAGACAGAATTTTTCCACAGCAATTCTTAACCAAAGATTAAGCATTACAGAACCTTGTGGAAGCACTGGGGAGACGGCTCAGTCCCTGAAGTGCCTGCTACACAAGCATGAGGAGTTGGGTCCCTAAAAGTGCACATGAAAAAGCCAGACTTGGTGTCTTATATCTTGTGTCCCCATGGTAGGGGACAAGGTGGAGATTTGGGGCGGGGGATCCTGGAACTTCTTCAGCCAGCTAGCTGTCCTATCTGAATGGATGAGCATTCAGGTTAATGACGAAGTCTGTCTCAAGAAGTAAAGGTGGAGAATGAGAAAAGACATTTGACATTGACCTCTGGCTTATACACACGGATGTACACACCTCCACCTACCCTAGCAAGTACATAAAAGGTGCACAGCACATACCATACATATGCACAAATACAACCTAGAGGGTAGGAACGATGAGGAAGGACACATAGGCTGAGTGCAGGTCTTGTGTGAGGTTCCTCCTCACTGTTGTGTGTGCGCGTGGGACTACACTCCAAAGTTGTTCTCTGTGTGCTTTTTTTCATCCTACACTGAGACCTAACTATTTGTTCCTCTGGGTTAGTGCCAAAGCTTACGTGGATTATTTTTTTAAAGGGCTCCATGGCTTTCTCTTGCAGTCATGTAGAAGTTGAGCATAGCAAGCTCTGGGGCTGGGAGTAGAGTTTGCTGAACACGTGCGAGGCCTTGGGTTTAGTCTCTAGCATGAGGAAAAAAGGTGACTCACGAAGCCCTGAACACAGAATGTTTTCATCAATTCATTTTGGCATAACACCTAACCTAACCTTGCTAAGTGCATTGGGTGTCTGGTCTTCCTGAATCATCTCAAATTTGTTGATTTTAACCTACTTGTGTTAACATTTATATGTTCTTTGGAGAAAATATTAATACACCTGATTTATTTTGCTAACCTAGACCTTCTGAGGATTTTATGTAAAACATTTCAGACAAATACATCATTCTTCTAAAGTTTTGAATTACCAAATACATATGGCCTCCAGAGTTTAGAATAAGACATGGGAAGCCTACTTTGGACATTTTGGGAAAGGATAATTTTTTAAATAATTTATCTATTTATTTTACATCCTGACCTCAGTTTCCCCTCCCTCCTCTCTTCCCATTCCCTTCCCCTACTTCCACCCAGTCTCCTTCTGTGTCTCTTTGGAAAGGGGCAGGACTCCCATGGGTGTCAACAAAGCATAGCATATCAAGTTGCAGTAAGACTAAGCACCTCCCCTTGTATTAAGGCTGGGCAAGACAATCCACTATGGGGAATAGATTCCCAAGAGCCAGCCAAAGTGTTAGGAGCAGCCCTTGAACCCATTGTTGGGAGTCCCACAAGTAGACCAAACTACACAGCTGTCACATATATGTAGAGATCTTAGGTCAGTCCTGTGCGGGCTCCCTGGTTGTTGGTTCAGACTCTGTGAGTTCCTGTGAGCCAGATAGTTGTTTCTGTGAGTTTTCTTGTGATGTCCTTGGCCCCTCTGGCTCCTACAATCCCTCCTTCCTCCCTTTAGCAGGGTTCCCCGAGTTCAGCCTAATGTTTGACTGAGGGTCTCTGCATCTGTTTGTATCAGTTACTGGATGGAGGCTCTCTGATGACAATTGGAGTAGCCACTAATCTGATCACAGGAGATGACAAGTTCAGGCTATGCATCCACTATTGCTAGGAGCACGGTAAATGGAAATAAACACTATTCAGCCATTTGTAAAGAAAGGACATTCTGACATACTATTACATCAATGGGCACTGCAGGACACATACATGGTCTCACGCACATAATATACCTAGTGTCACGTTCCCAGACACAGAAGACAGAAAGGGGCTTCTGAGGAGCAAAAGAAATGGGAGAAGGGGGGTTTCATTGTTTCCTACGTACAGGTGTCCAGTTTCGTGAGATGGAAAGTTCTGGAGATTGGTTGTGCAACAATGTGAACACCTCTCAGCAGCGTGCTTAAAACTGGTGAGGATGATGCTGTTTATGTTATGTGTATTGTGCTACAATTTTAACAGATGGAATAGTGTTTACATTTCCAAGTTATTTTTTAAATGCTAAAATATATAGGTCATACTGTGCTCTCCAAACCCTAAAATGTTCTGGTGCTAGAGGTATAACTTAGTGGTACATTGTTTGCCTGGGATATGTGAAGCCTTGGCTTCTTCACGCCTGGTGGTAGTGGTGGTGGTGGTGGTGGTAGTGGTAGCATAAAAGAGATTTAACTCTGGATCTTTGTAGGAAAGTTTTCCCACCCCTGCTGTGGGGGCAGTATGGTGTCCTATACATTTGGGTGAGTAGCCATTGTTTGGAGGTGTCAACAGTAGAAAACATCCCCATGTAGCAGTAGGAGGCATTGAGAACGGGTTAGCAATGCTTTTTCTCTGAACACAGTGATCAGGACCAGGAGCAGGAGCAGGAGACCCAAGTAGCCTGAGTAGCTGGCAGCAGCCTGGACTCTCTGCCCAGGTGTGCTTTGGGGTCTTATATTAGGAGAGCGGTAGGTAGGCAGTCAGCCATAGAAGATAAAGCCGACATTGGCACCTGTCCTGGTCTCTAGCAGGATTACAGAAAGAGTTGGTTCGGAGTATGGGTGAGAAAGGACTGCGTGACCAACACCCTGGCACACTTGCAGGATTTCCAGAAGCGACCTTGGGGTGCTCTTTGGGGGATTCTTTGAGCCTATCCCTCACAGGGTTTTAGGAAATGGGGGAAGACACTTGGACCTGTCTCTGTCAGATGGAGCTGTAGACCTTGAGGGGTGTATGCTAAGGCAGGCAGTGATGGGAGGGGGATCAGTCACACAAGTCCTTTTCTGAATGCAGCTCACAGATATGAGCCATGGAAACTCTGACCTCAAAGCCTGTACCTTTGGTTTTGCCTAAGAACAGCCAGCTACGTTTCACTTTCTGTAACTGTGCTTGGAGAAGAGAAGCAAGAAATCTACAAGGAAAAAAAAAAGATTTTTTTTCCCCCACCATCTTCTGTGTGCTGAAACTGTGCTTGAATGATATACATGGGTAAAATGATTTCAGACAGTCCCTTAAGGGCATGTGTGTTGGCTGCCTATAAACCACCGTGGAGCCCATTTGCTTTGCAATCTTGCCTTCCACACACACAAGCACACACATACATATTCATGATCTGCATCCTACAAGCTCAATAATTCATGGCTTATTGACTTAAGTTGATGGATGGAAGTTTTGGGTAATTGGAAAGAAAAGACGAGAATTCCGAGAGACTGGGTGGGCATGGCCATGCAGG